TGGAAACGGCCCGCCTTCTATCCGTGAATCTCTTGCATTTCTTGAACGAATGTGCGCTGCGCTAAGGCGAGAACCACATGTTGAAAACCACCCGCAATCCATCCGTGAAGCTCCTTCGGGTTGTGAAGACGAATGTACACGGCGCTACGGCGAGAGCAGCATTCTGGAAGCGGCCCGCCCTCCATCCGTGAAACCTGGCGAATTCTCTCAGCTCCGGGATCATAAATGGCTAAGAAGTCTTAAGCGAAACGCCAGGCCCATCTTACCGACACGCCTCGGGATGCGACAGGGAGGAACTATCTATAAGGAAAAGGGCTGGAGAAGGAGGAGGAAGAGGAGGAAAAGGGCGGAGGATGGGGAGGAGGAGGAGGAGGAGGAGAAGGAGGAGGAGGTGAAGGTGGAAGTGGGGGTGGAGGAGTCCCCACCCCCACCCCCAGCGGTGTCCCCGACCACCAGCAGCACTGCGGCGCTGCACGGCGCCGACCCCGCGGGTGGCGCGGGCAGGTCCTCGGGGGGCAGGGGGGGGGGGGGCGCCAGGAGGACGGAGGGAGCAACTACGAGGAGGCAGGAAGAGGGAGGAGGAAAGAGGATGGAGGAGGGAGGGAGGCAGGAAGGGAGAAGGAGAAGGAGAAGGACAAGGAGAAGGAGAAGGAGAAGGAGGAGGTTTCACCAGGACCGTCCCCTGCCAACAAGATCACTCGAAAGCGATGTATCCCGCTGCCACGGAGAGCCCCTTGACCCTCGGGGGGCGGCGTCTTAGAATTAGAGATGAGAGACCAACCGTCTTAGTTTCTCCTCGCGGCCTTGTTGCTCCCCACACAAGACATCATTCACCCAGGAGCTTCAAGGGTCCTAAAGCAGTGTCGGCATTACACGAACGAAAAGGAACAGAGGATGATCATCAGAGCAGTCAAACGGCAGGAGCTTGCGGACACGTTTTTTTCACTCCTAGAATCGTCGAAGCAACCTCCCCACAGGAGCCACAAGCCAAGGGGCGGATACCCTGACGCTTGAAACGCAAACAGGTGCCGCATTCCCAGTAAGATTTCGACAAAACCTGGCCGTGATCAAAAGAAGGACCCTCCGCCCCGACAACCCTGACAACCCTGGGGCGGCAGGAGAGCTCGACCCCTGTGAGATCGGGAGGGGAAGCATGAGGAGGGGGAGGAGGAGGAGGAGGAGGAGGAGGAGGAGGAGGAGGAGGAGGAGTAGGAGGAGGAGGAGGAGAATGAGAAGAAGGGAGGAGGCAGGAGCGCAGGAGGAGCGGCTGGGAGGAGGAGGAGGAGGAGGAGGAGGAGGAGGAGGAGAAGGACGAGGAGGCCTGGGAGGAGGAGGCCTGGGGGGAGGAGGGGCGGAGGGGGCGCAAAGAGGATGGAGAAGAAGGTCTTACGGTCCGTGTGCTGTTCTGGGCGTCATGATGACAAGAGGGGGTGGGCTGGTTTGAGCTGTCGTAGAAGTCTCCAAGAGGGGGTCAGGGCAAGAAGCGGCCCTTTCGTAGCTGGTCTGGGGGTGTTCTGAAATTGTCCGTCTGGGCGCATTGTGACCTCATCCCCCTTTTGTTACGACATGTACATGTATAATGTGTGCAATAAATATGTGGTGCAACCGATGTTGTGCAACGTACGCGGCGCAATCGATGTCCTGAACGATGAAACTTGCGCAAAATATCGTGCACCCGATGTGCTGCAAACTATGTGGGGCAACATTTGTGGTGCAGCCGATGTGGTGATACCAGCTTGTGTTCGCAATGAGTTGTTAACTCCAATGGTCGCGCACTCATTCCACCCACCCCCTCACCCACAACTTGGTTTGTAAAGCCCATGAGGCGGCAAGTGTGATGTCTGTCGGGCGCTGGCTGGCGCGTCGCTGCGGCCACGCTAACGCGCGCAGGCTCGCGCGCAGAGCGGCCAGCTAGTATGACGCGACCGACGCGGCCGCGGTGGCGCTGACCACTGGAGACTTCCCATCACGTCTCGCAGGCCGCGCTGACGCGCGGACACATCAGTGCGAGTCGGTGACTCGGGCGGGCGCGGTATCACGGCGACGTCGACAACGGACGACACGATGATGACTGCAGCGATGCTAGCGAAGACGATGACGATGACGATTGTAAGGCAAATGACGGCGCCGATGCTGATCACGCCGATGACGACGATGGTGTCCACACGACGGTGATGCAGATTTTGGAAAGATTTCGACATGCGCGCTCGGCCGACGGGCGCGAGCGCCCCGCATGGTGTCTTTTGACAGGGATCGTGCACCCCCCCTCCCCCCAGCACGCGCGCAAGGGCATTCAAATGACTCGGACATACGCGCGCGAAAGGCCCGCTTGGCCGCATTTGATGAAAAGGTTGATAAACCTGTGGTTACGCTGGTTGGTGATCTATCCGCGGAAGCGTGTTGCAGCGGACTTGGAACTCAAAAAACACGCCGTGTTATTCGCAAGCGGGAGAGGGCGGCTGCGTGCATAGGAGCAGGTGGCGGATGAGCAGGAGGAAGAAGAGGATAAGGAGAAGGACGAGGACGAACAGCCGCAGCAGGAACTGGACTGGAAGAGCGGGAGGAGCAGGAGGACCAGTAGAAGGTGGAGGAGGGGAAAGGAAAGAGGCGACAACGATGAGGAAGGACTCGGATCCCAGAAAAATAGCCCGCGCTGGGGCGAAGTCGCTATTCAGAACGACGGAAGCAAAGCCCCGATACTAACATGAAGCCCACGCTGCAGCGGGAGCACCATATCGAAAGGACCGGGAACGTTCGCATTGCAAACACACATATGAAAGGCAACAATTCGGCACCATCCTGTGCGCAAGTGAAAACTACGGGGAGGGTGTCGCGCTACTCCAGGCCATCCGCGGGGATAAGAGGAGAGTAGGTTCCATATCAAGCTAGGTGCGCTCGCGTCATACCTGACGTCCTCCCCTCCCTCCCATCCATTACCATTGCCTAGAGCCCCTCTCTGTCCGCAGAGTCGGGCGTCGAAGAAGACACGGACCCCGAAAGAGCAAGCGCCGCGCAACACAGCGTTACGGGGCATGGCGCAGGAGAGCGATGCGGAGCGCAGCGTGGCGCAGCATGGCGTGGCATTGCGTAGAAACCTGGGCGGGGAGGCGTGAGTTGGAGCCGGAGGAGGAGGAGGAGGAGGAGGAGGGGGAGGAGGAGGGAGGAGGAGGGGGAGGAGGAGGAGGAGGAGGAGAGGGAGGAGGAGGAGGAGGAGGAGGAGGGAGGAGGGAGGATGGAGGAGGAGGATCGTGGAGGAGGGAGGAGGAGGAGGAGGTGGAGGAGGAGGAGGTGGAGGAGGAGGAGGAGGAGCAGGCGCAGGAGCAGGAGTCGGTGCCGCTCTGATGATACTGCCCGCGCTGCCGCAACAGCGCCGCTCTGATGATACTGCCCGCGCTGCCGCAACAGCGCCACGGCCATCGTGGCAGCGGAAGCTCCCACGCTGGAGCGTCCAAGCGCAGGGACCTGGGCCGAGGGCGCCAGCCACGTGCTAGCTGCACGAGCACGGCCCGCGCCGCGCCGAGAGTGCCAGTGCTTCGGGCGGAGGTCCTCCTCCTCCTCCTCCTCCTCCTCCCTCCTCCTCCTCCTCCTCCTCCTCCTCCTCCTCCTCTGGACAGGATTCGAACCAATGGAGATCAGGCATCCAGCTTGCAGGAGGCCGCCAACTACGTTCCGACGCCGGCACCGGCAAGGGCCCTCCAGCCCGTCACCGGCACACTAAGCCTCCTCTGCCAAAGCATCGGCAAGGTGGGGCAAGGCAAGAATGCAGCTTCAGAACTGAAGCCAACGCTGGAGCCAGAGCACCAGCGTCCAAGGACGAACTCTTCAGACCTAGAGCCATCGCTACAGACGGAAAGCTGCTGTGACGGACAGGCAACTTGAAAATGAGTGACGCCAGCGGTGCAGCGGGAGAACATTCTGGAAAGGACCGAAACGCGGAAATGAGGTCAGCGCCGCAGCGGAAGAATTACGTTAAGAGGCCGAAAACGCGGAAGGGGGCCAACGCTACAGGGAGCACGATTAGAAGGACAGCAAACACAGAATGGAGGCAAATGCTGAAGCCGAAGAATAATTTTGAAGAAACGACAACATGGAAATGAAGCCAATGCCGCACCAGGGGGGGACCATTTTGGAAAAAACAAAAAAAAAACGAAAACGATCGGATTGGAAATATACACGTGAGAAATGTCGACGTTCGAAATGACGTTTGCAAAACTAGGCACGGAGAGGGCGGGATATCCTCAGCACGTCTTCGGGGGAGGAGGGAGAGTAGTATTCATAGCGTGTAACTGCTGGTGAATTGTGGAGGGGAGGGGACGGCAGAGGGGCATGGGAAGGATAGAAGGAAAGGGGGTAGGAGAGGGAACAAGCTAGGTGCGCTCGCGCAGTATCTGGCATCCTACCCTTCCCACCCATCCCGTCCAATTGCGCTGATGTTTCCTCTATTCGCGGATGCGTGTCATAGCGGACCTGGAATTCCCAAAAAGACCCCCATCGTCTTCTGCGCAATCGGAAAGAGTGAGCTGAGCAGGAGAAAACGGAGGAGGACGACGAAGAGTGAGGAGGAGGACGAGGACGAGCATCAGCAGCAGCAGGATCTGGAGCGGGAGGAGCCAGGGGAGCAGGAGGACCAGGGGAGGGCGGAGGAGGGGAAGGGAGGGGGGCGACAGCGATGAGACAGGACTCGGATCCCAGAAAGTGGCCCACGCTGGGGGAGAGCGCCTTGCTGAACGACGGGAGTAAAGCGCCGGTCCGAAAATGAGGCCATCGCTGCAGCAGGAGCGACATTTTGACACACCGAAGACCATCGGATTGCAAGTTCGTCTGGCGAAGAACCCACCCCATGCTCAAACAGAGACAACCACGAACAGGACTGCTCAATAAACATGAATACTTTGAAGGGCCTGCGGTACCCGTGAACGCTTCGCCAAAAACGCCAAACAACGCGTGACGTGCTGCATTCACGCACGCACTCTCACGACGCCACGCACCTACTGGGGCCATGGTTGGAGCTCCCTGGGGGGCTGGAAACGCGTGATGGGTGTGCCGAAATAGGCGTGGGGACGCCATGCGGACGCACCCCCTGGGGCCATGGGTGGAGCTCCCTGGGGGGCAGGAAACGTGTGAGGTGAAATTGTAAGGGGGAGGAGGAGGAGGAGGAGGAGGAGGAGGAGGAGGAGGAGGAAGAAGAGGAGGAGGAGGAGGAGGAGGAAGAAGAGCGGGGGAGGCGGGAGAGAGGTGACGCGCGGCGCTGCGGATTCCAAAGAGGACTAGGAAAAACATCGGAATACGCGGAGAGGCTGGGGCGTCCTCCGGACAGCGTCAGGGGAGAGAGAGAGAGAGAGAAGAGTAGTACTCATAGCGTGTGCTGCGCAACTGTGGAGGAGGTGAAGGGGGGGACGGGACGGCTAGAGAGGGCAAGAGGGGTCGAGGACGTGAGGGCAAAGTTCTGGTCCTCGAAAGTTTTCAGCAGCGTCGCCTTCACAAACGCCGGCGTGCACTGCGGGGCGTTGCACAGCGGCGCCAGGTTGCGCAGCACCGTCGTCGGGAGCGAGCGACAACACATCTCCACGACCTGCTGCATCCGCGGCGGGAGGGGGAACCCGCCCGGGAGATTGAAAAAAGCCGGCGCGGCATTTCATCCACGAGTCCGCTCTGAGAAGAGCCACTACGGCAGGTTCGTGTCGTCACGACCTGCGCGTTGGCTCCTGACACCGCGCGAATCCTTCAACCTTGAGCGATCGGCGGCTCTCTGGTAGTGCAGATCGTTCGACGTCGGCCAGTGCTGCTCCACTGGCGGCGCTCATGTTTGAACGCCAGCTCTGAGGTCGCCGCCGCGTCGACACGAAAAGAGACCGCTGCACGCGCGCTCTACCACGAGTCCCCTCCAAGCACGGCCTCCACACGTGCACTGCTTTCCGATGCGTTTGGCTCGATCACGCGCTCGCGGAGGCCGCGGTGCCTGCGCCACCTCCGGTGCTGGCCCTGCCGTAAGCAGTCATTTGGTTGACGCAAAAGGAATGTATTGCACGCCCCAATTGTATTGCAACCCCACACGTCTATTGCAACAAATCTATTGCACCACCCCCTTGTCGCTAGACCCCCTTTTAGGTCAACCCGAAATCAGTGGTACGTCCCCACACTCCGCCAGGCGCTTGTCCTCGGCTGGCGCGGCACTGGACACCGTGCGCGCGGATCGTGCGATATCGGCCGGTGCTGTGCCACTGGCAGCGTTCCACCTGGAACGCCTGCACGGGGGTCGGCGGGCCACTCGTCTGGCGCCGCCCCCTGGCGCGCTGGCGTCGAAGGCGCCGCCCGGGGAGGCGCCCGGCGCCAGCCCCGGAGATCCGCGGGCCTCCGAAAATTGTTTGTCGCATCGCTAACCCCACAGGCGTCGCCCTGCGCTGCCGCACGGAGTTGGGCCAGAAAACAAACGACACCACTCCACCTGCGGCCCCACGGGGCCTTGTGGCGTATACCAGGAGATCTGGCGTGGGCTTTTGCGGGGCATTCGCCACGGCCCCCGAGGGGCCGTAGCGCAACATGGAGGACCGTAGGCGGGGTGCTGTCGATTGTTTGATGCTCGGAGAGCACCTGACCCAAATCGCGGCGCGGCTCTCAGGCCCGATCGAAAACCTGTAACAGTTCTCCCCCTCACCTCTGCAAAAAATACACTGCGCGTGCACTCGTTTAAAATCATCCATGATCAGCAATCCCTTGAAACAAATGGGACGAAGTGCGCACGCGCGCCTCGTCGTGCGCGCATGCCGAAATCTGTCCACAATCCTTTGGTTGCGTGGGGATTTCAAAACCGAGTCCCGAGACATATAAAAGCAAATGGCTTCGCGACAATACTGTTCAAAAACATCAAGTTTACGTCTGCGCTTTCGCCGTTTTTTATAATGAAAAACCAAAAACAACAACAACAAAAAAAAAACGCCCTGATTCTTCAACATGTGCATAACCTGCTACCAAGCGGGCCTCTCGCGCGCGCATGTCGGAATCGCTCGAACGCGCTCGCGCGCTGTGTCGCGAAAAAAGACCCTCGCGAAAAACGGGATGAAGCGCACGCGCGCGCGTCGTCGCGCGCGCATGCCGACATCCCTCAAAACTAAAAAAAGGTTTCGCATGGAATTGAAAATCGAGTGCCCCAAAAACATATAAAAGCACATGAATTGAAACATCCGCTTTCGCCCCCAAAAATACGCTCGTGCTTTTGCGAATTCTCAAGAAGACGATCGGCTTCTCAACATTGTCTTAATATTCTGCCAAATGGGCCTCTCGCGCCGCATGTCGAAATCATCCGATCGCCCTCACGCGCGTTCTGGGGGGGGGCACGATCCGTGTCAAATAATTCCATACGGGTCACTCTCGCGCGCTGGCCGCGCGCGCATGCCGAGCTCCCTCCACAACTTTCATCACCGACGCGAAGACACCGTCATCGTCGTCGGCATGATCAGCATCGGCGCCGTCACTGGCCGTGCCGTCGTCGTTGCCATCATCGCCAGCAGCATCGCTGCTATCACTATCGTGTCAACGCTGTTGGCGTTGCCATTATACCGCTCCCGCCCAAATCGCCGACTCGAACTGAAGAGCCCGCTGGGATGTGCCCAGCGGTCAGCACCACCGCGGCCGCGTCCGACATGCTAAACTAGCTGGCCGCTGCGCGCGCGAGCATGCGCGGGCTAGCATGGCCACAGATCAGAGATGCACCAGCCACCGCCAAGCATTCATCACAATCGCCGCCGCGTGGGTTTTGCAAACCAAGTTGCGGGTGGTTGGGTGGGATGACTGCACGAGCAGTGGAGTTGCCAACTCACTGCGAGCGTTGGCGAATTGCACTGCACAGCTTGCACCACAGAGTATGCTAGAGCACGCTGTTTGAGGTTCGCGCTGGTTAACATTTGCTTATGTAATTGGCTTTCTTCGCTGGACACACCCGACTCTTCGGGGTCCCAAACCCGTGTGGTAACGGACCGCGTGGTGACCTCGCAATCCCCCCCGACCTCACCGCGCGGTCCGTTACCGCAGGGCGTCCGGACCCCCGAGGCCCCGGTCGCCCGAGACGCCCCCGGAGAACGACCCGAGTCCCAAAACCGCACGGTGAGCCCGCACCCCTGGCGACTCACCGCGCAGCGTGGTCACCACACCCTTCTGGGGCCCCCGAGACCTCCCCTCTCCTCCTCGTCCTCCTCCTCCTCCTCCTCCCTCCTCTCCTCCTCCTCCTCCCCCTCCTCCTCCTCCTCCTCCTCCTCCTCCTCCTCCTCCTCCTCCTCCTCCTCCTCCCTCCTCCTCCTTCCTCCCATCCTCCTCCTCCTCCTCTCCTCCCTCCCTCCTCCTCCTCCTCCTCCTCCCCCCTCCCTCCTCCTCCTCCTCCTCCTCCTCCTCCTCCTCCTCCTCCTCCTCCTCCTCCTCCTCCTCCTCCTCGGGGCCTTCGGGTCCTGGTCCTGGCCGCCCGCCCCGTGGCCGTCGAAGAGCGCCAGCAGCGCGCGCGGGCCCGGCGCGGCGAAGACGCCCTGGGAGGGCAGCTGGATGTTCAGCGCGCCCGCGACCTGCCGCTCGGGAGCCGCGCGGGGGAGGGGGGTCGACCCGCGGGGGAGGAGGGGGAGGAGGAGGAGGAGGAGGAGGAGGAGGAGGAGGAGGAGGAGGAGGAGGAGGAGGAGGAGAGGAGGAGGAGGAGGAGGAGGAGGAGGAGGAGGAGGGAGGAGGGAGGAGAGGAGGAGGAGGAGGGGAGGGAGGAGGAGGGAGGAGGGAGGCAGGGAGGAGGCCTCACGTTCAGCCAACCCGTTCAACACGAAGGAGCCCTCTACCACACGAGAATGGGCGTTGCGACGGGCACGGCCTGCGGAGCATCTATGGCAAAAGTGCACCTCGGCGAGGGGCAACGACCGGGAGCCGGCGACCCATCGCCGATGGATCGGCGGCATGCCCCCCGACCGCGAAGCCGCGCGCTCCTGGGCGGAGGGGGCCATCGGGCCCCCGATCTGCGATGCATGTTCGATCGGGGGTCGACGCTCTCGCTTCTAGGGGGCCACATGCGAACCCTGCCCCCACCCCCCACGACTTCCGAGGGGGAGGGTGGGGTTCGCTTCGTTCGGGAGCTCCTGGGCGAAGTGAGCCCCCACCCTCCCCCTCAGGAATCGTGGGGGGCAGGGGCAGGGTTCGCATGTGGCCCCCTGGAAGAGGACAGGGAGGCAGGAGCAGAAGCGTCCAGAGGTCCGGGGGAACCTTCTTGGCTCTGCGCCGGGCCCCGCCACAGCGCCGCCTCTGGTGCGCGCGACGAGGGATCAGGATTCAGCGCCGACCCAAGAAATCCGCGCGAAATGTATGCTTATGTTGTTGTTTTGGCACCCGATCGACGAACCCACAAAACTGTCAAGATGTGAGTGCGCAGTGCAGGGAATACGGGTCAAAAAGGAAATCCAATCAGAAGGACAGCCAGGCCGCTGGCGTACCCGAACCACTGCCGGTCGCCAGTCGGCAAACAGCCGCAGCCAGATCCGGAAGGCTTCCAAGTTGGGTCACGCTGGCCGTCAGCAAAGGCATCCCGCAGGGTGCGCGGGGCCAGGATCCCTCGTAAATTACGCTGCGTCTGCGATCCCAAGGTCACGACCCATTGTACATTAGGCTGCGCCCGCTCTCTTGGGCCACGATCCCTCGTAAACTACGCGGCGTCCGCGCTCCCAGCGCCGACCCGAGAGATCCGCGCGGACCTCGGACAGTTGAGGCGTGCATCGTCCGTGGTCCCTCGATCGATGGAGCCGCAGGGCTCCCAGGCTGTGAGCGCGGACTGTCCTGCTCTGCCCAGTTCTGGACAGCGAGTCGAGAGACTTCTACATTCAAGTCGGGGCTGTGCCTCCTCCTCCTCCTCCTCCCCCTCCTCCTCCTCCTCCTCCTCCTCCTCCTCCTCCTCCTCCTCCTCATCCTCATCCTCCTCCTCCTCCCTCCTCCTCCTCCTCCTCCTCCTCCTCCTCCTCCTCCTCCTCCTCCTCCTCCTCCTCCTCCCCCTCCCCCTCCTCCTCCTCCTCCGTAGCCATTTTGGCTCATGCCTGGTGCCAGGCCCCATAGCCGTTGGTTCGACGGGCGTGGGGCGCGTGCACGGGATGGCGCGGGATGGCGCGGAAGGCGCGCCAAGGCGATCGGCGGCCCAGCGCGCTGCTGGCAGGCAGTGGGCGAAGTGGTCGGCTGACAACGCTGTGAAGAGGATCTCGGACGAGCTGGGGCGGGTGCGAGCTCGCCAGGAGGCCGCCGAGAAGGCCCTGGACGCCATCATCGGAGATGGCGAGGTGGCCCAGAGGCTGCAGGCGCTGCTCCCAGCGCTGCAGGCCATGCTGGGGGGGGGGACCCCCTCCTGGCTCGAGCGCCTGCGGCGCAACGTCGCCCTCCACGCCGAAGCGCAGGGCGTGGACATTCGGGCGGCGGGAGCCGCGGAGCTGCGCCGTGCGGAGCGGGGACCCCGGCTCGAGCGGCGGGCGGCGGCCGGAGGCGGCTTGCGGGCGCAGGCGCCCGTGTTCGTTCCCCTCGGCCTGCTTGGCGCGGACGGCCCGACCTTCGACGGCTCGGAGGTGCCGCCAGCCGACGGCGACAACGGAGGGCAGGTCGTGCAGATCGCGGAGGTTCCTTCGGCCGTGGGAGCGGAGGATCTGGAGGTTCTCCTCCGCGGCGCCCAGGAGCGGCTGGATTCGGCGGCGCTCGCGATCGCTGAATCAGGGGGCCGTGAATTGGGCGACGGCTCCGAGGCGCAGCGCGCCGAGCTCGCGGCGGCCGCCGACCGCCTCGTCGAGCTCGAAGCGCAGCTCGCCGCGTCCGCCGCGGTGCAGGCGCCGACGGCTGTCGGGCGGTTTCCCGCCGAGCACGGCCTAGCCGACGGCGACGGCGGCGACGTGCATGGCCGTGCAGGCGCAGCTGACCGCCGCCCTCCTGGCCCATGGGCGGACAGGTTCGTGGGCTGCGAGTTCGGCCCCGCGGGCGCGGGGGGGCCGCCGAGGCGGGGCCGCAGCCTGGCGGTCCCCAGGCCGCGGTGGCCGCCCGCGCCCGCGACTGCGCCCAGCTCTTCGCCTCCTTCGCGATGGAGCTCGGGCGGCCGTTGCAGGAGGCCGAGGGCGGTGTGGCGCACGACGCCGTGTACGAGGTCGGCGCGGGCAGAGCCTGGGGTTAAACCCAGGCTCGGCCTGCGCTCAGGACGGTGAGGCCTCGGCAGGGGTCCCTGGGGCTCCTGGGGGTCTCGCGGGGCTCGTGGGGCCACCGTGGGAATTCGTTTGCATGACCCTCCTGGGTCGAGTCTTACCTCCTCCTCCTCCTCCTCCTCCTCCTCCTCCTCCTCCTCCCTCCTCCTCCTCCTCCTCCTCCTCCTCCTCATCCTCTCCTCCTCCTCTCCTCCATCCTCCTCCTCCTCCTCCTCCCTCTCCCTCCTCCTCCTCTCCCTCTCCTCCTCTCCCTCCTCCTCCTCTCATCCTCCCACCTCCTCCTCCTCCTCCTCCTCCTCCTCTCCTCCTCCTCCTCCTTCCTCCCCTCCTCTCCTCCTCCTCCTCCTCCCCTCCCCCCTCCCCCTCCCCCTCCCCCTCGCACGGAGGGCGGTCTCCACATTGTATGCTTGCTCGCTCTGGGGGCCTTCCCGGGGCCCACCTGCAGAGGCCTCCCAGATGGGGTCCGAGCAGATGGGGTCGGAGGACCGCTCCGCGTCGCCGACGCGAGGCCCATGCATCGCCGATGCATCGGCGACGTCGGCGGTGCATCGGCGACGTCGGCGTGGAGAAGTCGAGCTCCACGTCGAGCCGCATCGCCGATGCATCGGAGATGCGACGCGATCCTGCGACCCCACCTACTACGACCGCATCTGGGAGGCCCAGATGGGGCGAGAATGCTGTCACGATGAGATCGGCTCAGGATGCGTTCCAGGATCCCCACAGTATCTGACGGCGCAGCCGGCGCGGAACATCAGGAAATGCTGAGAAGCCCTGGAAGCCTTGAAGCCCCTGGACCGTATCATTCTCATGACCTCTCGACCCTCTGGCTCGAGCCCCGCGCCCTCCCCGATCCTCGATGTCCGATCCCCGGCCCCTCGAGGCCGAGGCGCCCGCTCGGGGCAGCGAGCGGGCACGGAGGCCACCCCACCCCCCGCGGGCCCCTCCGAGGCGGCCCTGGCCCGTGGCGGCAGCCCTCGGGGAGAGGCCCCACGAGAGCGAAGATACCGGTGGAGCCGTTTGCCTCGCTGCCTCCTCCTCGTCCTCCTCCTCCTCCTCCTCCTTCTCCTACTCCTCCTCCTCCTCTCCTCTCCTTCCTCCTCATCCTCCTCCTTCTCCTCATCATCAATCATATCATTCATCATCATCATCATCAGCATCATCATAATCATCATCATCATCATCATCATCCTCATCATCATCATCATCATCATCATCATCATCATCACATCATCCATCATCATCATCAATCATCATCATCATCTCATCATCATCATCGTCGTCGTCGTCATCATCATCATCATCATCATCATCATCATCATTCATCATCATCATCATCATCATCATCATCCTTCTCATCTCATCCTTCATCCTCATCCTCCATCTAATCCATCCTCATCCTCATCATCCTCATCCTCATCTCATTATAGTCCTACTCTCATAAGCATCATCATCATCATCATCATCATCATCATCATCATAATCATCATCAGCATCAGCATCAGCATCAGCATCAGCATCAGCATCATCATCATCCTCTCATCCTCATCCTCATCCTCATCCTCATCCTCGTACTCATCCTCATCCTCATTCATAGCATCGTCATTGTATCATCATCAGCATCATCATCATCATCATCATCATACATCATCATCATCATCCCATCATCATCCTCATCCTCATCATCATCCATAATCATATCATCTCATCATCATCGTCGTAACTATTCACCACCCACCACCACCTCATCATCATCATCATCATCATCATCTCATCATCATCATCCTCATCCTCACTGATCTCATTCCGAATCACCACCCACTCAACGCCATCAACATTATCATCAATCATCATCACCACCTCATCAAGCCTCATCATCAGCAGCATCAGCATACATCATCATCATCATCATCATCATCATCATCATCATCATCATCATCATCATCATCATCATCATCATCATCATCATCATCATTAGCATCGCCATCATCATCATCATCATCATCAGCATCATCCTCATCAGCAACAGCGTCATCATCAGCATCATAATCATAATCATAATCATCATCAGCATCAGCATCAGAAGCATCATCATCAGCAGAATCATCGTCATAATCGTCAGCATCATCAGCATCAGAAGCATCAGCATCATCATCATAATCGGCATCAGCATCATCCGCATCATCGGCAGCATCATCAGCATCATACGCAGCATCATCCTCATCAGCATCATCAGCAGCATCAGCATCAGCATCATCATCAGCATCAGTATCATCACCATCATCATGCTCATCAGCATCATCATCACCCTCATTATCATCCTCCACCTCATCATCATCATCATCAGCAGCATCATCTTGATCAGAATCTTGCACCATCATCACCATCATCATCAGCAGCATCAGCAGCAGCATCATCATCACCATCCTCATCATCCTCATCATCCTCCTCATCATCATCTTCATCATCAGCGACGTCAGCATCATCATCAGCAGCATCAGCATCATCATCAGCAGCATCATCATCTGCAGCATCATCCTTATCCTCCTCCTTCTGCTCTCCTCCTCCTCCTCCTCATCATCATCATGATCATCAGCATCATCATCATCACCACCATCATCATCATCAGCATCATCATCATCATCATCATCATCAGCATCATCAGCATCATCATCATCACAATCATCATCATCAGCAGCAGCAGCATCCTCCTCCTCCTCCTCCTCCTCCTCTTCCTCCTCCCCCTGCTCCTCCCCCTCCTCCTCGTCCTCCTCTTCTCCTCCTTTTTCTCCTCCTCCTCCTCCCCCTCCTCCCTCCTCAGTGCGCCGGGCAGCGGGATTGCGGCCTTCCGCAGGTCGCGCACCACGACGTGCCGGGCGAGCCTGTCCCGGGGGAGGGGCCCGAGGGCGGGGGAAAGGGGGAGCGCAGGTCTCCTCGACCACGCGCCGACGGAGGAGGCACGCGCGGGCGGAAGATGAGCAGCCCTCGGAACAAGCAGGCACAAGCGGGAGGGTGGGAGGAGGAGGAGGAGGAGGAGGAGGAGGAGGAGGAGGAGGAAGAGGAGGAGGAGGAGGAGGAGGAGGAGGACACGCACATGGCTGATGGGGTGTTCGATGTCCGCCGTGAGAGAGCACGGCTGACTATGGAGGGCTTGGTGCCTCCTCTTCACTGACCTTGGCCTGCTCTTCGCGCACCAATCTGGCCAGGGGAATTGCGAGGGTCTTAAAAATGATCGGGGAAGACTTAGAACCCTTGGGATCACGCCCCTCTTGGACACGAGCGAGTTGAGTAGCCGCTCCTTGGTGGCTCACTCGAGTGCCACAGTCTCCAGTGAGCCCTCGACCCAACCCTTCCGAGTAGGATCCACACTTATGGCAAACCAGAATGCTCGTGGGATGATCAAGGTGCTCATAATAAAATAAATCATGGCCTGTGTTATCGTGCACGAGGTCTGACAGCTGCTTGCAGTGGCCTGGGCATTCCTTGGCCGCCAGCACTGCTCTCTGTTTGGTTGACTTTGTCTGCACCCTACACAGAATGCACCGATGATACTGCGCAAGTAAAGCCCACGCATGAATCCTCCTAGGTACTCTGGGCTCACGAGGGGCCTCATGAGGCACAGGCGGAGGAGGGGGCGGGGGAGGCACGACCAACGACGGCGGCGTCCACGACGACAAGGCAGAGGCAGCACCCGTGGGGGGGGAGAGGCTCTTCTCTGGGGCGGCCAAAGCTTTGTTCTTTCTGGGTGCAATCGCGGGCCACTCTCCCAGAGCCTGAGCAACGTACTTGAGATATTTCGTAACAAACTTCCTATCTTCGGCAAAATTGCACTTCTCATCTTCGCTGGGCTGAACGCCCTTGTGTGCTGCGGCCTTCGCTAAGCGATCCGCAGCGTCATTACCTTCTGCATTCGACGGGCCTCGCTGCCTACGGGTAGGGCTTGTGTATCTTGATGGGCTTTGACCTTTTGGAGCCTCGACCCTAAAGGAAAGAGCCCTCGGCCAGCCAAGACTTTGAACCCAGCCCACAGATTGCGACGGGGGTACTCGGTGCCTTGATGCAGCACTGGGAGGAGGAGGAGGAGGAGGAGGAGGAGGAGGAGGAGGAGGAACGGGGGGGAGGAAGAAGAGAAGGAGGAGGAGGAGGAAGAGGAGGAGGCACGGGCGGGAGGGTGGGAGCGACACGGGCCAGCAAGGGAAGGGAGGACAAGGCAAGCAGGACGATCCAAGCAGAGAAGAGCGAGAGACAGCAACAATGGATGGTGGGATAGCCCTCTTGAAGGGCGGGGGATGCGGGCGGGACAGCGGCGGGGGCGGGGGGACACGCAGGGTGCTGGGAGGGACAAGGAAAGGGGGCCAAGGGGAGGGAGGATGAGGAGCAGAAGGGTACCCTGAGAAAAAAAGTGCGTCCCAAATGTCCGCCCCTCAGGAGTCTCTAAATCATGCCTTTTCCGCTGCTGGAGGCGCCTCCTTGTGAGCGACGGGCGCCCCACGGGCCTACGATCCCAGCGCGAGCCTCGTACCGAGAAGGAGCGCATTTTCGCATCGCTCTGGCGACGAAAGGTGCCAAGAGGTAGGATCACAAGCGTCAAGGAATGCCCAGGGAGAGTACTGAAAAGGGAGCGCTCCCGCATCGCATTGGCTACGAAAGGTGCGGAGAGGTAGGATCACAAGCGTCAAGGAATGCCAAGGGAGAGTACTAAAACGGAGCGCTCCTGCATCGCTTTGGCCACGAAAAGTGCGAAGCGGTAGGATTACAAGTGTCAAGGAATGCCCAGGGAGAGCCCCGCTTGACAGGGAACCGGCGCCCATCTGCACAATCTTGCACACAGGGCGGAAAGCAATGAGAACGTCTCAAGCGAGAGCCCAATGTGGAGACGATGCACCCTCCACACGTGTAACTGGTGCAGGTGCTCAAATTGCTGGGGAATGAACAAGCAAGAAAATCTCAAGCGAGGACCACACTTCGAAGAGGAACCAGCCTCCATCCCTGCTGCTGCTCGAAGCTTGTAAAACTACTGTGAGAGGCGTGAGGGCGAGAACCACACTTTGGAACGGACCGCCCTCCATCCACCCTGGTAGTTGCTGGAATCTGTGTAAAATGACTGTGCGAGAAGCGGCGGCGAGGGCCACGTTTATGAACGCCGCCCGACCTCCATCTCTGTGGCTGCCGAACGTTTCGAGCTTCCGCCAGGGCGATCCACGGCAAGGACGTCTCTGGCGAAACGCCTGGCCCGACACGCCTGGTGGCGCGAGGAGGGGGCGTACTTTTGCACAGGAGAGGAACGGGGGAGGGCGGGGAGGAGGAGGGCGAGGAGGGGAGGAGGGGCGGCGAGGAGGCCGCGAGGATGAGGGGAGGCGACGCTGAGACGCGACCCTGCGAACGCAGGACGAAAAACCGCGAGACATCACCGCTGGAGCCCTGGACTCCGCTGTTCTGCCGCATTGCCCCGGGGCCCGACACTGGGGCGGAAGCGCCTGGTGCAAAGATTGCAACGCCGTGGGGGGGGGGGAACGAGGGGGAACTCGCCCCAGCCCGTACGACGACTGCTGCGTTTCCCCTTCACGCCGCCAGAGCCTGCTGCCCCTCCCGGGCCAGACAGCCGCATCCGCGACGAGCTGGTGGCCCTTCTGGAGCTCGGTGTCCTGGCGGGAACAATCCCCCCCTTCCCTCATGCCTTCCCTCCTCCCTCCCCCTCATGTTTCCCCTGGTCCCTCCTCCTCCCTCCTCCTCCCACTTTCCACCCCCAAAGCGTTCCCCAAGTCATCCTCCCTCCTCCTTGCGCCCCCCCCCTCCCTTCCTCGTCCCGCACTCCCTGCCCCAGTTGGCGTCCCCCGCTGTTTTTGTCCCCCTCTGCTCCCCCGGAGGCTGCTGGTCCACGTTTTCTGAACCTCTTTCTCACTACTCCGGGTTTCTTAAAAAGCGTGGGATGGTACCCCCCCGACCGGGGTCAACCTCGCCTCGTCGTCGCGCCGCGACGGGGGTCGGAGCGCCTTCGGCGCGCGATGGCTGCCCGCGACGGGAGTCGATGTGGGGCTGTCGGCGGGGGTGACGCCCCCCCGACGCTGATTAAGAAACTCGGAGTAGGGGTCTCATCTGGGCTGCTCCGTCCTTCCTGCATAACTAAAAAGTCGGCGTTGTCACATTCGCGGCAAAAGTGGGAAGGGCCGCAACTCCCCTCCGAAAAGGAGGCACGTCGCTTTCGCCTCGGCGCCGAGATCATCTGTCATGAAAACTGAGCGCCAGCTTGGGCATGTCTGGGCAAAGCGCGCATCTCGTCGACGCGCACGTGGGCGAAACTGTCGGTCTCGCATCGGCGCCGCACACATTTGCACTCGCCTAGTCGTTTTGGGCGGGGCCGCGCGAGAGTGGGTGACCTCGCCGCCCTCGACGAATTTCGTGCACATTTCGTCTGGAAGGGGCGAAACCGCGTGGCGCGGCGCGTGTGTCGCTAGCCGAACCGCGTGACAGCGGCAGCGGCAGCGGGGCCGCGCGAGAACGGACGAAATGACGTCCTCGCCCAAGCGCCGCGCACGCTGCGCGCGTAAATGCACGTTTTTGTTTTCTGGCGCGGCGCATGTTTCGCCGTCACCTTCACCGCCCAAGAGAGCGGCGCATCGCAAGGTATTTTGTTTCAGTCCCGCTCCCACATGCTGCGCGGCCGCGCCAGACTAGCTGGCCGCTCTGCGCGCGAGCATGCGCGCTAGCGCGGCCGCAGCGAAATGCCAGCCAACACCAAGCAGTCATCGTAATCGCGGCCACATGGGTTTCGCAAACCAAGCTGCACGTGGGTGGGTGGTGTGATTGCGCGAGCAGCGGGGTTGACAACTTACGGCAAACAAAGTGTGCACCACCTGCATATATATATATATATATATATATATATATACACATACAAACATACATACATTTACATATATGCATGTATGTATGCACGTATATGCACAAGCGTGACTGCACTACATAAACTGAAAGCATAGATGGCAAAACATGGACCGCACCACATTGATTGCGTCATATCGACGATCCGCCCTGAAAGGAAGTTGCGGTCTACTGCCCCCCCCCCCTAAATTTCTCGGCGCCATCTAGGGGTGTCCAGATTACATACGACTCTGGTCCATTGATAATCTTAAATGTGGGTCCATACCATCACAGCCGAACCAGTACCGACACCCCTCCCTCATCCATGTCAACAAATGAACAAAAGCATGCGCGCATGCTTGATTCTCAAAAACGATCAGGTTTCACATAACCGCTGCAACAAACAAACAAAGTCCACACACGCGCGTGGTCGCGCGCGCAAGTCGGCATTATTCTAACACCGTGGGTTTCAGAAAGATATCAAGATCGAGTTTCATGTGTGCATACAGACATATGTATATGTAAGTGTATACGTGTGTATGTGTATGTGTATGTATGGTATGTATGTGCATATATAAATCCGCCGGCCCCCTTGTGGGGCCACCAGGCTGTAGGCACGTGATTCGCAGTTTCCTGTACCAGTTGTAGTTTCTAGTTTCCAGTGTTACAGTTCTGCTTCTTGCTGGTTACTGTAACTAGTTGACTTCTTGCTGGTTACTGTAACTAGTTGATTGACCGCGCGAGGGGGGGGGAGGCCCAAACAGGATTTTCCAGCGTCCCCTGGGCGCGTTGTCTGAATTGCTGGGGGGGCTCGAAATCGACACCCCTCACGCAGATCCGCGGGGTCAGGGTCCAAAAACACAGGGATTTGCCACATTTCTGAAATTCGGTGCCACCCCTCACGCAGATCCGCGGGGTCAGGGTCCAAAAACACAAGGGATTTGCCACATTTCTGAAATTCGGTGCCACCCCTCACGCAGATCCGCGGGGTCAGGGTCCAAAAACACATGAGATTTGCCACATTTCTGAAATTCGGTGCCACCCCTCACGCAGATCCGCGGGGTCAGGGTCCAAAAACACATTGGGATTTGCCACATTTCTGAAATTCGGTGCCACCCCTCACGCAGATCCGCGGGGTCAGGGTCCAAAAACACAGGGGATTTGCCACATTTCTGAAATTCGGTGCCACCCCTCACGCAGATCCGCGGGGTCAGGGTCCAAAAACACAAGGGATTTGCCACATTTCTGAAATTCGGTGCCACCCCTCACGCAGATCCGCGGGGTCAGGGTCCAAAAACACAAGGGATTTGCCACATTTCTGAAATTCGGTGCCACCCCTCACGCAGATCCGCGGGGTCAGGGTCCAAAAACACATGGGATTTGCCACATTTCTGAAATTCGGTGCCACCCCTCACGCAGATCCGCGGGGTCAGGGTCCAAAAACACAGGGGATTTGCCACATTTCTGAAATTCGAACCCATCACGCACATCCATCGCAAGGCGTGTAACCCAAACTGCGAGAACTCCCTCGGCCCTTTAATCTCAAGGTGTGGTAACCAAGCCCTTAAACCATACACGTCTTACCAATCGCCAGGTGTGGTAACCCCTCTTGTGATCAGTTGGTTTTGCTGATTGCGACTCGGCTTCGCATGAAGTTTCGATACTGCTTCACGACAGCGCCAAGGCCTCATGACTTAGCTCTTCCATGGCCCATTCTCCGAGAGAGGGGGCCGGCGGCAGGGGGCGAAGCCCTTACGGATATATACACACACGACCATAACACATTTACGAACGATTACACACATATCGCGATGCATGTATATATATATATATATATATATATACTAGAACCCTTGCGCGCTTCGCGCGCGCTCAGGCTATAGCAGGCCCCAGGCCTTGACGAATTCACTGATCCACTGAAGTAGTGGACCACAGTACACGCATGGCAATCTGCATTCCGAAAGGCCTTCGAGGAAAATGGTTGTGTAAGTGGGCAGAGGCCGTGTGAATCGGGTTCCCAGAAGGCCCTCTGGGAGCATAGGTTTGGGGGCGTCTTGGGGAGCCTGTCGGGGCGTGCCGTCGTCGTCGTCGTCGTAATGTCGTCGTCGCCTATTGGGGCGCGCCGTCGTCGTCGTCGTCGTCGTCGTCGTCGTCGTCGTCGTCGTCGTCGCCGTCGTCGTCGTCGTCGTCGTCGTCGTCGTCGTCGTCGTCGTCGTCGTCGTCGTCGTCGTCGTCGTCGTCGTCGTCGTCGTCGTCGTCGTCGTCGTCGTCGTCGTCGTCGTCGTCGTCGTCGTCGTCGTCGTCGTCGTCGTCGTCGTCTTCGTCGTTTCGTCATCGTCGTCGGCTCAAGAAGGCAATTTTGGGCAACTTTGTGCGAAACAATCAGCGGAGGGCCGCGAGAAGGCGATCAGTCATTCCCAATCAACCTTCCAGACAGCTGTCCTGTAGCATGATGGTACTTCGAAGCCTCCAGAGACTCGCGGGCCCATGATGAACTATGTCACCGTAAGGCTTTCTGGGGACATGGTTTGTTGGGGTGTGTTGGGGGGTCTCTTGGGCGTTCCCTGGGGGCCCCTTGGGGGCCTCCGGGAACTCTCGGGCCCATGATGAAGCATGCCCCCGGAAGGTTTTCTGGGGACATGATTTTTTGAGGTGTGTTGGGGGGCCTCTTGGGTGTTCCCTGGGAGCCCCTTGGGGGTCTCTTGGGGCTTCCGGGGGGCCTCTTGGGAGCCTCACGGGGCTTCTTGGGAGCCTTGTGATGGCCTGTCCTAGGAGCCTCTCAGGCCGGAGACCTTGAAAGGTCGCGCTCTTCGGGCCCTTTGGGTCGCTCTTGGGGCTCTCTTAGGGCGCTCTCGAGGCCCTCTTGACTTATCTGGGGAACCTCCTGGACCGTCTCTGGGCTTTCTTGGGAGCCTCTTCGGCCGTCTTGGAGCGATCTGAAGGGCCTCTGACGCGGTCCGGGACCGTGGGGAGGCGGAACATGGGAGAGCACAAGAATTCAAAATCCATTGGAAAATTAATAATTTTCGGCTTCTGGGGCCCTTTGGAGGGGCCTCAGGAGGCGCTCTTGGGGCGTTTTGGCAGCGTCGTCAGCCGTCCTGCGGTCATCTTCGGCATGTCCGGGGCCTCTGGGGGCTGTCTTTAGGCGTCCTGGGAACCCGGAAACCATGTTCCCGGAGAGGCTTCCGGGAACATGATTTCGAACGAGGCTCTCTTGGGCCTCCCTGAAGCCGTCTTGGGGGCCTCCTGGGCCGGCTTCGGGGCCTCTTGGGCCGTTTTGGGGGTCCCGTGAGCCCCACAAGCCGACCCTTTTGGGCTGTCTTGGGCCCTCTTGACTCTCTCTTGGGCTGTCTTTGGGCTCGGGGGCGTCTGGGGCACTGCGAAGACGAAGCCAGCGAGTATGCTGAATATGTACGGTTTACTACGGGGACGGGCTGATGTTTGCCTCTTGAAGGCTCTCTTGGGGTCCTCTTCGGCCATCTTCAAGCCATCTCGGGCCCTCTGGGGCCTCGCTGCGGCTGTCTTGTGGGCCTCTTGGGCGTCCTCGGAACCCGGAAGTCATGTTCCCGGAGAGGCTTCCGGGAACATGATTTCGAACGAGGCCCTCTTGGGCCTCCCTGAAGCCGTCTTGGGGGCCTCCTGGGCCAGCTTCGGGGCCTCTTGGGCCGTTTTGGGGGGTTCCGTGAACCCCACAGGCCGACCCTTTTGGGCCGTCTTGGGCCCTCTTGGGTCTCTCTTGGGCTGTCTTTGGGCTCCGCGGGGGCGTTTGGGGCACTGTGAAGAC